AGGGAAAGAGCTGGATGGTAATGATGAGTTCCTGGATGTTGAGAAGAGTGGAAATGGGTGGAGGCCAGAAGCTAGTGACCTTTCCTTTTATATCCAGTGCACATGCCCTGGGAAAGCACAGAACCAGAAGGCGGCGAAGCAGAAGCAAGAAACGGAAACAGGACTCATCACAGAGAGGAGAATGCTCTCAGCTGGATTCCATTTTGAGACTCCCATGAGGGAGTAATTAGGTTCATCAAGGAGATAGATGGGAGGCACTTTCTCAAGGGCAACTCGCTGGTCAAATCTGGGGACTGCCAGTTCTGACTCTCAATTATTTGTCTCTGACCTGGGGCCCTCCCTGAGGTCTCTACACCCACCTCCAACTGCAACAAGTCCACACTGACTTCAAAACTCACTGATCTTGAGGATCCCAGAAGACTGTGTTCAGGTCTGGATTCTCCCTGGGGGTTTTGATCACAGTTCAAAGACTTGAGATCAGAATAAGGGTCAAGACCCACAGATATTCCAGGAGCTTCCAGCAGTAGATCCTGCCACCTCAGGGGGAAAAAAAATCCTTACAAACATGGTCACCTGAGAGTCCTTACACTCATACACAAAGTGAATTTCACAACCCCCAACTCAGAGGCATCTCCCGGATCACTAAACCAACTCACCTCCATTACCCCTGCTCTACCCCCTAAAAGAGGATAGGAGGAGAACAGAAATAGCTTTATGGTGCATGCAGAGAAAGAGTTGCTGAATGCCTCCAGAGATGCTTTGAGGGTAAAAAAGGATAAAGACTAAGTGGAATAATTTTTAAAATAAAAACAAAAACTGGAAAGATTTACCACTGTTCTTTGTTTCTCAGATTAAAGTCTGGCTCATAGAATGTTGAGAATTTCACCAGCTGAAATCTGTGGCCATTCTAAGCATCTATTAGAGTTACCACAGATAAAGCTTTGCCTTTTGTTAAGATATTTAATTAAGTTATTTGAGCTCTCCATGACTGAAGACAGGCAGGCCTGGGATCAAAACTCAGCTCAACACTTGTCAATTGTATCACGTCAGAAATGTGACTTTGTCTATGTTTTCTCATCCATAAAACAGGAATAATGGCACCAATCTCATAGAATAGTTTGTAAAGACTCTGACATATCACTTATAAAGCGTTTAGAACAGTGTCTGGTCCATGGAAAACATTCTATAATACTAGTTACTAATATTACCGTTATTATTTTGAGAAAGATTCAGAATACAGTCATTTTATAAAATACTGCTATAACATATAACTCTAGAATGTAATATTTGGGCATTTTTTTAAGTGTATGAGACATTAACTTCAACATACTACCTGATTTTGCATTTGGCTATCCAACCAATTCATGACAAAAAAAAAAAAAAAGGTAATCCCTCTATACCTGGCCAACCCTTCCCCACCCCACCCCCAGCAAACCATCTCTCAAGCTCTGTCTCTCCTCTCTACCACTCTCTCTCCTTGACTCCTTTAAAGGAATAAGCACATTACCAGTTGAAGCTGTGAATGTTCAGTGTAAAAGATGCGCTGTCAACAGTTCCCTCAATGCTATGTGCAGCTCAGTGAAAAGGCTGTGTTGATTTGCAAAATGGCTATTTGCAACATCTGTTCCAAGTAAACAAATATTTCAAACCACCTCAAACTTATTTTGGATTCAGAAGCATTGCCTTCTGTCTTATTTTTCCAAGTAGAGAGTCTGATCATAATTCTCTCTCAACCTTACCCCCACAGCCATCGCTCTCCACCTCCCAGTAGTGTAAAATGTATCTCCCAAATACACTCTCAGTCCAAGGACTTTGGGCCCCCGTTTATGTCTTCTGCCCCATAGGCTACCAGGTCCTCTCTAGACTCCTCCTCAACTCCATCACGTGCAGATTCCCAGGACTGCAGCCCACCCCTCCTCATTCTGTGTATTCAACCTGGAAATGGCCAGTCATCCCTTGTATCTCATCTCTTCCAATAACACAGACATCCTCCCATTGGCCACCAAGTTCCTCCTATTAGATTGGTCTCTGAGGCTTTTCAATCCATATAACATCTTGAACTGGAGTGCCCTGTTGCCAACTCAAATTAATCTTGAGGCCAATAACCTTGAAAAGTTAGAGTTAATGAAATGAGCTAGTAGTGAGGAGATGGTGTAGCCAGAGCTTCTGTTCACACTAGCTTAAACGTAACTCAGTTCCTCTTCTTATAATGAGGGGATAGTCTGGATAAAGTACTACCTGATAGCTCTAAGATCCTAAATGCCCACCTTCCCCAGGCCAAAATACACTTATTTATCCATGCAGTAACTATTGAGCGTCTAATACAACAAAGCTACATGCCTCGTATTGTGAGGGGTTAAAGATCATCCCCCCCAAAAGCTTATCATCTAGAATGGGAAATAGACAACCATATCAATTACTGTAAGAAACAGAGAAAGATGTCACAACCAAAGGTACTTATAAGATAAAAACATTACAAGCCCATTACCAACACACCAAGCCTGAAACTGATTTTTAATACATCTTTTCTTCTCTGCATCTAGTCTTTTACCAAAGCTTTTTCCTTTTCCTTTACATCATTTCTTAAATCTGTGCTTTCCACTAAGCACTTAAGAGTCACATGCTTAGGGCGCCTGGGTGGCTCAGTCATTAAGAGTGTGCCTTCAGCTCAGGTCATGATCCCAGGGTCCTGGAATTGAGCCCCGCATCCGGCTCCCTGCTTGGCCGGAAGCCTGCTTCTCCCTCTCCCACTCCCCCTGCTTGTGTTCCCTCTCTTGTTGTGTCTCTGTCAAATAAATAAAATAAAATAAAATAGTCACATGCTTAAATGCAGGCCTGGGCAACTCTCCCCTGTTACGATTTTACCCCTTTCCCAGCACTCCCCAAACAGATCCATGAGCTCTCATCAAAATGTGAGAATCACCCCATTAGGCTGGTCTGACTTGGCCACTATCCTGCTATACTTCTAAGGTGGCCTCCCCCATATTACACAATATTCACATCAAATCCCTTTAGAAAGGGCGCCTGGGTGGCTCAGTCAGTTAAGCGTCCGACTCTTGGTTTTGGTTCAGGTCATGATCTCAGGGTCATGGGATCCAGCCCTGCATCGGACTCTGTGCTCAGTGTGAAGTCGGATCGTCTCCCTCTCCCTCCCCCTCTGCCCCCACCCTAATCTTTATCTCAAAATAAATAAATAAAATCTTTAAAAAAATTCCTTTACAAAATGATCCATACTTCACCTCCCACAAGCAGTGTCTGAGAACATACTTAGTACTGGATGGGATGTCTAAGTCATAGGCTTTAAGTTCTAAGAGCTTACAAACCGGTCAGGAAGTTGAGACATGTGCTAAAATACAATAATCAGGGATACTAAAGATGAGAGGGATGCTAGCGGCACAGACAACAGTAATACATGCTATAGGGTCTAGAAGAGGGAGAGCTACTTTCTGGCCACAGTAATCAAGGAAGGCTTCAAGAAAAGATCAACCTGAGTTAGACCTTGCAGTGTGGGCAGGACTTCAGGGAAGGAGGCAAAAAGGCATTCTGAGCCAAAGGCCCAATGTGCCTGAGGCAAGAAAGGAGGCCGGTTTCAAAATCAGCAAATTGTTAGGTGGGGCTTGAGTGAGAGGGCACTTTTTGAAAGGTGTTTATAGGGTACAATCAAGCTTAGTAACAGGAATGATTAATTTTCTGATTAAACCAGACAGTATAAGAAGGTAGAAAAGTAAAGTTTAATAATCTACCCACACTGTGAAGAGAGTATTATCAGGGGGATGGTAAAAAGAGCCCTAAAATCAGAAACCCTGGGCCCTGGGCCCACCTTGGCCAAGGAGGGGCTCCAGCAGCCACAGCAAGTCATTTAACCTCACTGGTCTCGGTTTTCTCATTTGTAAACTGAAGCAATTGAACTGGCTGACCCTGAAGGTCTCTCTAACAGTCCAAAACTAAACCAACTGTATATTATTTCTGCCATTAAAACATTCATCATGGGAAGGGGAGAGGGTGGAGGGAAAGGCAGGTATCTGTATTCCCTTTCCATATAGGTTTCTCTTCCTGAACTAAAAATTTCTTTTTCCTAAACTCATTAATTCTATGTATACGCTTCCCACATCATAAATGTAACACTTTACCTAAATAATGTTCAGTGTGCTCCCCCGACCTAAAATTTTATGACTCACAGGTTATCCAAGAAATTTGTGCAGCACAGCCTTAGCCTCCTACAAGTGTATCCAATACCTCTGCCCCAGGGTAAAACATCTGTGTATGAGCCCTAAGATGTGACAGGGTAAATAAAGGACAGAAAAGTGAGAATTCTTGTTACTCATCTAAAAGACCGCTCTCTTTTAACAGCACCAGATTAAGCCTGAAATAATACTAATGTAGAAAAAGGGGCGGGGGTGGGGTATCTCACATTTTATAAAGTTTCTACTTTAAAATGTAGCTGAAATGCGTAAGGTATTTGGCACTGAAATTCGCTGAAAGCTGACATTTTTTATGCCGCATCCAGAGGCCCCCTGCTCCAGGAAGGCACCAAAACTAGAAACCACGGATGCGATTTCATTCCAGCCCTATTGACCCTATGCACCAAAAGACCAAAGGCAAATAAAACCACTCACAGAGTTCAAGTGAAACAGGCTGGATCAGAAAGCCTCGTCAGCAGCCACCCAAAGTTTAAAAGCGACAGAGGAATATAAAAAAGTTAACAAAATGCCTAACTTCAAGCAGGGAATCATAATTCAGTTCACAGGCTGTGTAAGCAGCATAAATACACGATTTAACACCTGCCCGCACTCCACGCTGCCGGGCCTGGGCAGGTGCGCACCCGGCGGTCTGAGGGCGCCGCACTGCACAGCCGGGCGCAGGGAGCCGCCTCTCGAGCGAGGGAAATCGGAGAGACCCCCCCCCCGACTCAAGCCGCTGTGCGCCGGCGAAGAAGTGAACCTTTGCTTTCTGCCTACCGTTCCAGCCTTCCTCTCGGACCCCACCGCCGCGCCCCGTACCTGCGGTAGCCGTTGAGCCCACAGCTCTCGCTCGGGATCCAAGCACCCCCAGCTCCCCTCTGCGGAAACCTCTCGGCGGCCGCCTAGCTGCTGCGCTCGCGCCACTACGCATGCCCGACCGGCCCCCAGGCCAGCAAACTCTGAATCCACTTGCCGGGTTTTAGCTGCGGCTCCTAGGGGAGAGGACCCAAGCCCAGGAGCCTGAGTTCCGCCCAGGAGTGGAAGACGAATTGCAGATGCTGGGAGAGGTGGATGGGCACTGCGGCAACGTTATTCCTATTGTCCACAGTTACCCAGGACGTACTCCTCTAAACCTAAAGCTAACCATCTATACAATTGGAATGAGCTTAGTAGAGTGGTCCTCAAACTTGAGCATGGATCAGAATCACCTGGAGGGCTTGTTAAAACACAGATCCCACCTCTATTGTTTCAGATTCAGTTTGTCCACAGTGAGGCCCGAAGATTTACATTTCTAGCACTTTCTCAGGGGAAACTGATGCTACTAGTCCCCAGACCACACACTGCGAACCCCTGATCTAAAGCTATTTGGTATTAAAACAGGAAAGTTTTCTCACCAACTCCCACCCCCAGGATTTCACATAACACTTCCTCTTCATTTAACAGCCACACCTGCTTTAAAAATAAATAAATAAATACAGCTCCCACTCAAACAAAGGTGGGACATTTCCTCTAGCATGTGAGTCAAGTAAATGGAATGCAGCCTCAAGAGTTTAGGCATACGTTGCCTGTAGCATAATCTATAGCTGTGGTCCCTCCAGCTCTGTCCCGGCAACAGGAGGGGGTCCCTATTTTGCTGCCTCATTAACTCAAAGTCCTGTGTGCTCCCTTAGTGTCTAGCGCAGTACTGGGTACAAAATAGGTACCCAAGTACTCAGTACCTACTGAAATGGTACGGGTAGGATGGGAGAGATGAAGAAGAAGGATGTTGAAATCATTTTAGGAAACCAAAGGAAGTGATAAGCAATTAAATATAGAAATAAGTAAGCCAATAAGGATTTCTACCTGCTTTCTACCTAGAGGAATCAGTGGATTTTGTATCCTTATCTGAGCCGAGATATATGTGAGGAGTTGACTACATAAGTTCTCACAAAATACTTCTTAAAAAATTAAACACACCTCTGCCATATAACCCAGCCATTCCATTCATAGGTATTACCCAAGAGAAATTAAAACATACATTTACACAAAGCCTTAAACACCAATGTTCATAGCAGCTTTTTTTTTTCCACAATAAGCCCCAAACCAAAAGGAACCCAAATGTTCATCAACAGGTTAATGGGTAAACAAAATGTGGTACATCTATGCAATGGAATAGTACTCAGCAAAAAAAGGAAAGAATTATTCATACAGGCTTCAACATAGATAAATCTCAAAATCATTATTATGCTGAGTGGAAGATCCCAGAGACAAATGTATGATTCCATTTATATGAAGTCCAAACTAACTTATAGTGACAAAAAAACAAATGAATAATCACCTGGAGCCAGGGGTAGAGGGAGGGATGAGTTATAAAGGGGCAGTAAAAATCTTTTGGAAATGATGGAAATCTTATCTTGATTATAGTAGAGATTTCACAGGAATATACAACTGTCAAAACTAAATTGTACACTTTAAACCTATGAAATTTATTTTACATAAATTATTCCCTAATAAAAATAAGAAAAAATTAATCAAACATTCCTATGAGCTCTTAGTTGGAATATTGATCAAGATAAATTCAGGAGGAAGTATAGACCCTAGATATGGTGTAATCTGATTTGTAAAAAAAAGAAAAAAAGAGAAATCACCCTCTGTAGAGAAGCAAAAAATAATCAATATAAAATGTCTGAAACCACTCATCTCTAAAAGTAAACAACCCCAAGATGTCGTTTGTAAAGGTACTACTGATTAAAGTATTTCCCAAAAGTATCTCCAAATACAAAATAAAACATATTATAAATGCACAACAAGGGGTACCTGGCTGGTGCAGCTGGTTAAGCATCAGACTCTTGGTTTTATCTCAGGTTGTGATCTCAGGGTCATGAGATCAAGTGCCACGACAGCTTCTCCCTCTGCCCCTCCAGCTCATGCTCTCTCTCTCTCTGAAATAAAAATGAAATAAAATAAATCTTAAAAAAAAGAAATATACAACCAGAGCATAATTATAAAGAAAACCATTATCTGATAAATGATTATATCTCTAACAATAAGAAATAAAGTTTTCAAACTATGTTTCCAGGAGCCTGGGATGTCATGGAGATGATAAATAAGCAGGACTCTGGGTCAAGGACCCCAGTCCCAAGAGCACACTATTACTTCCACATTGGAGTATTCTCTGTGATTTTATTATAAAAGAGTTCCACTGGTAATTAAAAGAGCAATAGTTGAAAGCAACAGAAGTAATGGCATCAGGTAGGAAGAATTCACAAAGAGGAAATGCTGTATTGGGTGGGCACAAGTATTCTGGTCAGCAAAAATATACACCCTAGTTATAATACCATATGTTCCAGTTTTTCCATAATACTCCTGATTTTTAATATTTATTTATCATGTGAATTTATGTCCAATTATGTGTTCCAACTAATAAAATCACAAACATAAACTGAAATAGGGAAAATTTTCTGGGTCTTCTATACTTTATATAAAATATTAGAAATAATATTAATAACATAGCTAAGAGTTATTCTGGTCCTAGTATGCACCAGCCACTGTTTTAAGTATTTTACATTGTTTTTTCATTGACTATTCATGACAACCCTAATAAACTATCCTCATTTTATAGGTGAGAAAACTGAGGCACAAAATAGTAATTAGTTTTCTCAAAATAACACAACTAAATAAAAATCAAATAAAACTAAATTGAAAAATGCATTTTATTTAAAGACAATCTTTGCTAATTTCACATTTCCCAAGGAGACTCTGGACTATTAATTTATTTTCCAGGCTTATTGATATTGAGAAGGAGATCATAAAGGGCAGAATTTCTTTTTTTTTTTAAAGATTTTATTTATTTGACAGAGAGAGACACAGCGAGACAGGGAACACAAGCAGGGGGAGTGGGAGAGGGAGAAGCAGGCTTCCCGCTGAGCATGGACCCCGATGCGGGGCTTGATCCCAGGACCTTGGGATCATGACCTGAGCTGAAGGCAGCCGCTTAACTGACTGAGCCACCCAGGCACCCCAAGAGCAGAATTTTAATAAGCCAATTAAAAAAAAAGCATCAATAATAATTCAATAATAGTAGGGGACTTTAACACCCCTCTCACTGCAATGGACAGGTCATCTAAGCAGAAGATCAACAAGGATGTAAGGGCTTTGAATGACACACTGGACCAGATGGACTTCACAGATACATTCAGAACATTCCATCCCAAAGCAACAAAATACACATTCTTCTTCAGTGCACATGGAACATTCTCCAGAATAGATCACATCCTGAGTCACAAATCAGGTCTCAACCGGTACCAAAAGATTGGGATCATTCCCTGCCTATTTTCAGACCACAATGCTTTGAAACTGGAACTCAGTCACAGAGGAAAGTTGAAAAGAAGTCAAATACATGGAGGCTAAAGAGCATCCTACTAAAGAATGAATGGGACAACCAGGAAATTAAAGAAGAATTTTTAAAAAATCATGGAAAAAAAAGAAAATGAAAACACAACTGTTCAAAATCTTTGGGACGCAGCACGTCAGTCCTAAGAGGGAAGTATAGAGCACTACAAGCCTTTCTCAAGAAATTAGAAAGGTCTCAAGTACACAACCTAACCCTACACCTAAAGGAGCTGGAGAAAGAAGAGCGAATAAAGCCTAAACCCAGCAGAAGAGAAATAATAAAGATCAGAGCAAAAATCAATGAAATAGAAACTAAAAGAACAGAACAGATCAATGAAACTAGGAGCTGTTTCTTTGAAAGAATTAATAAGATTGATAAGTCCCTGGCCAGACTTACCAAAAAAAAAAAAAAAAAAAAGACAGAGAGAGAGAGAAAGGACCCAAATAAATAAAATCATGAATGAAAGAGGAGAGATTACAACCAACACTGAAGAAATACAAACAATTGTAAGAACATATTATGAGCAACTATATGCCAGCAAATTAGACAATCTGGAAGAAATGGACACATTGCTAGAGATGTATAAACTACCAAAACTGAAACAGGAGGAAATGGAAAACCTGAACAGACCCATAGCCAGCAAGGAAATTGAAGCAGTAATCAAAAATCTCCCAACAAACGAGAGTCCAGGGCCAGATGGCTTCCCAGGGGAATTCTACCAAACATTTAAAGAAATATTAATACCTAGTCTTCTGAGGCTGTTTCAAAAAATTGAAATGGAAGGAAAACTTCCAAACTCATTTTATGAGGCCAGTATTACCTTGATTCCAAAACCAGAAAAAGACCCCACCAAAAAGGAGAATTATAGACCAATATCCCTGATGAACATGGATGCAAAAATTCTCACCAAAATACTAGCCAATAGGATCCAACAGTACATGAAAAGGATTATTCATCATGACCAAGTGGGATTTATCCCTAGGCTGCAAGGTTAGTTCAACATCTACAAATCAATCAATGTGATACAGTACATAAATAAAAGAAAGGACAAGAACCATATATTCCTCTTAATAGATGCAGAAAAAGCATTTGACAAAGTACAGCATCCTTTCTTGACTAAAATTCTTCACGGTGTAGGGACAGAGGGCACATACCTCAATATCATAAAAGCCATCTATGAAAAACCCACTGCGAATATCATTCTCAATGGGGAAAAACTGAGAGCTTTTCCCCTAAGGTCAGGAATACGGCAGGGATGTCCACTATCACCACTGCTATTCATCATAGTACTAGAAGTCCTAGCCTCAGCAATCAGACAACAAAAAGAAATAGGGGCACCTGGGTGGCTCAGTGGTTAAGCGTCTGCCTTTGGCTCAGGTCATGATCCCAGGGTCCTGGGATCGAGTCCCGCATCAGGCTCCTTGCTCAGCAGGGAATCTGCTTCTCCCTCTCCCCCTGCCTGTTCTCTCTCTGTCTCTCTCGCAAATGAATAAATAAAATCTTTAATAAA